AATGCCCACCCGCAGCGACTTCTGCTGCCAGAAAATCCGAGGGCCCACAGACAAGGGCACACATATTCTCAAGGCCTGCTAGAAACATGGCCGCTGTGCGCTATTCTCAAACTCCCCAAGCACACTGCATACGCCTCGACGGCGACATTCAGCGCCTTACGGGAACTCCTACCCGGAATTGGATTACACTCCCAAATATGACATTACCGCCCGCGTTTGTCCGCTTAAAACTGGGAAAATTTATGGACTTAATAGTGAAGGAGCGTGTCCTACAGTGAAATTTATTTTACATTGTCAGAATTAAAAATCTTGACCGATTAAGAACGACTGGTAGTCTTCGGATAAGCACGGAGCAGCAACACAGCAGCCACCTATTGCAACCGGTTCCCTTTGATCTCATTGATTTTGCTACCAGAGAGATTCCCGGCCTATCAATGACCTCAACATATGCGGATACGCCGGGCTTTACTGCTATTATATATATATATATATATATATATATATATATATATATATATATATATATATATAATCGAACAGATTTATATTGAAAATACCTCTTGACTGGGATAAGAACCTTTCTGTACACCATCGTACATATTGCCTGAAGATCGCTTGAGCTGGGAATCGTGCAGTTTTTATGCAGTCCACATTGTTTATATGTACAAACTCTGTATACAAACACTCTATATCCAAAGCTAAACACCCTTCTCACATAAAAGTAGGAATATATATTACGTAGCCAGTGTTTCATGGAGATTCCATCTGCTCGTTTAATCTTTCTGAATGTTTTCATTAGAACCAGAACATTCTTTTCTTTTGCTAGCCACCACCTTAAGATGCTTGCTAATTTTAAAAAGATTGATGAAGACCTTCTGACATTAAGCCATTCTCTTCTTAATCTCACTATTCGAGAGTGAACAAATTAAACGTGACAACAGTAAAATGTGCTAAGATGCATCAGCTAAAATATTATATACTTAAGCAATAGAGAAATACTTTATGATTATATTCCACGTAGATTATTTCCGCTGAATATCCAATTTTGACAACTTCATGTAGTCTTTTCCCTAAATGGAGTTCAGTTATCTCGGTTGTGTCAAGATAAATATTGAATTATTCGTCAATGAAGGGATTTCATGGATGGAAAGAATGACTTTGGGATTCAGAAATCATTAAAGATGAATGTTCTATCTTTTTGTTTCCTTATCATCAGAGTGCAAGACATTAGGTATAAATAAACGTCAAAGACGAAGGAGAAAATCCTATCAATCTACTTATTAGGCATTTATGTACAAACCAATTGAAAGCATGATTTTTTGGCTTGAGTGCAAACTCAATATCACAAACCTTGTAACCACACTTGAGTATTTCGCTACCCCAAATTATACCCGTGTAGACTTTGGTGATTTGAAGTCTATCTATCTATCTATCTATCTATCTATCTATCTATCTATCTATCTATCTGCTCCAACTCTTTATCTGTCTAAAACTATTCATGTTTCTATTGGTTTAAAAGAGCCGAATACACGTGAAAAATTAGCAGAAATCTTTCATTATTCTCTGAAAAGTTTTAATAAAACAGAAATATGTTAGATTGAAAAACATTTTCTTTTTCTTCTTTATATTATATTATGTATATATATATATATGTATCTAAAAAATCTCTATGTATGTATCTTTCAGTTGAATGATTCTTATTTACATCTATTTAACTATTATTAATAGTTTAAACTTACTTTTTTAATGGTTTGGAAAAAAAAATGTTTCTTGTGTCGTCACTCAACGTCATGTAAAAATTTTCAAATGTGTCATTCAGTTACTATATATATATATATATATATATATATATATATATATATATATATATATATATATACTAGCAGTAGAGCCCGGCGTTGCCCGGGAATGTAACAGTAAGAAATAGATCAAGTATTGACCATCATAAAGAAAGACTGAAAAATGAAATAGAGAAAGATTATTGTTTAAGGTTGACGGACACGCATGTCTTAATTATTTTTTTTGTTTGTTTGTTTTTTGTTTTTTTTACGAATTGGTCAAACGCAAACAAAAGCATTGTTTTTAATCGTCATGAGTCTACCGACGAATATAATTTTATTATAAACAATTGACTGGTAAATAGAATTTTTAAAGCATTCTGAATGAAAAAATAAAGAGACAAGTGTGCAAGACAATAAGAAACACTACCTGCCAAAAAAAAAGTGATGTTTTGTTGAAATCGGTTGAAAAATGTATGAAATCCGATCCAATATATAAACGTACAGACACACACACACAACTTGGGTTTTATAATAAGTATGATATATATATATATATATATATATATATATATATATATATATATATATATATATATATGAGGTAGGTAATTGGGATCAATGAAATACTGATCAAATGTAGAATAGAATACGACGCAATAATAGGACGACAAAGGAAGTCTGTATAAATCTGAAATGTGTCAGAGAATGAAACATAGAGGAGAAAAATAAAATACTCCTATTTTTACTTTTCTTTTTTTTTGTTGTTTTTCATTGGTTAAGTAGACTTCATGCCCATCAATCATATCTTGGAGCGTCCGAGTCATATGTGTATCATAATTCTCGTTTGTCTATACGTGATTATAATGTATAATCGTTTCCATCATTCTGTATTTGTGTATAGTACGCATTAATAACCACCAAACTGAATGAGTTTAAAAGTTAAAAAAAAAAAAAATTCATTACTTCTTTTAACGCTCAAACACTATCTTCGCTACTGAGCACTCTTACGCAATGTCTACTTACTTATATATATATATATATATATATATATATATATATATATATATATATATATATATATATATATATGTGTGTGTGTGTGTGTGTGTGTGTTTCCAATAGGATGAAATCCAGGTAGAGCTCAATGTACAGCTCAATGAGTTTTAAACGCACATATAAATTCATAATTTCCTGTTTGCAAGGATACAGAGAAATCTAATCATTTAGGCAGGGCGGTAGCGTGTTCCTATTGGTGTATCAATTATGAGTTACCTTCGAAAAAGTGGTTAACTTTAGGCAGGATAGTGGTGTTAAATTTTAGTTTTCCCAGTTTTTATTACCAGCCTTTATTTTATAGTTTATTACTTTTCCTTTTATTAGTTTTCTTTTTTTATTTGTCGCTGGTATAACCAAATTCCCGTTCTTTATTTATTATTTTTTATTTGAATATTTGCTTAATTTCTCCTACTTTTTGAAGAATGTAAATTTTAGTTTTGTGTATTGACTTTTATTATTTTCCCCACCCATACTCCTTACCTTTTTTACACTAGAACTGAATAATCATTTAAGACCCGCCGTGTGAATATTTTCCTTCTAAAAATGGCCGACGGGGCGGGTCGGTCAGTCGTTAAAAAAAGGATCTTTTTGGAGCTGCTGCTGTGACAGATCCCCCGGATAAAACAAAGTCAAATAAAAGGGGAAACCGGGAAAGGTAACCCCTAAAATCGTTCAGAAAAGACCAATGTTCTGGAGTTAACTAGCTCTGAAAATAAAGAGAATATGCCGGTCTCAAGCAAAACCTGTTATGACAATATGCCGAAGGAGGTTAAAGATAAGGCGAAGGCAGGGGAATCGCCCTCCTGTTGAAAGTCCGCAACGAGTTATATCGTGAATATCGCGGAGTTCTTGGAAAAGACGAAGGGCTACGCTCTGCTTGTAAGACGTCCAAGAACTAAAGGTATTAGAAAAGAGAATGGTTTCGGTCTTCGGGGTGGACAAGCTTACGCGCAAAATGTGTCGCTCCATGAAAGACAGTGATCAAATCACTTTTGTCCCTGGGGATTAAACCTCAAAGAGTAATTAAGATTGCCTTGAAATGGTTTAAAAAATTCAAGTTTGGAATGAATTGGTCCAAAGTTACAAAGGAAAGCAGCGATCGCAATTAATTCGTGGTCTCGTGCATATATGTAATATATGCAAGTATATACTATCAGATTTAATCAATTCTCAAGATATATAAAACAATATGATTTTCCTTCAATATCAATATCAATTATCGGGAAAATCGATAACATTATGCCACTTTTGACTTACAATTCAAATCCAGTAAAGCTGATTTTTCGCTATGTTTCTCGCAAATGGCGAAGAATTTCCACCAAAATTACGTTCAGCATTGTTTTTATCAATAGTTATGAAGTGCTGACATTCATTTTCAATATCGATATCAATTATTAGAAAAAATCGATACAATCGATCACCTTGAGAGATCCGATTGAAGTCAGGTTTATCTGATTTTTGGCTATATTTTAAGCCAAATTCCCGTTGAGCATAGTATTTACCGACAGTATTGAGGTTCTGACTTTCATTTGAAATATCGGTTTTGATTATCGGATAAAAATCGAGGAAATCATACCCCTTTTGACTTCCCATTCAAATCGAGTTTACCTGAATTTGTCGATATTTTTCGCAACTTGGTTGGGATTTTGATTAACTTTATCGGCTGTGGGACGAAGGTTTCACTTCTGCTCCTTTTACACCGCCATCCGGTTGATACGATAGGCTCCTTCAACTGATCAATTCTCCTACCGCAAGTTGTTTCTTACGTTTTTTATTTTCCCTTTGTCTGTTTAACTACATTTTTCCAACTACCATAAACAATTTATTCAACTGTTTTACTTAAATACCTGTTTTCCTCTTTTTGACTCACTCTTTGCGATACTAAGTTAGACTTTGTACTCCTGGAATTGAGCAACCCTAATCAACCATTACTAGCATCACTTTTCCACATGCCGCCAAAAAGCCTTCGGTCTGCAAGAGCATCCGCTATGAGGGCAAGAAGGGTCTGCGAGTCCAAGGAGCAGACTACAATGCGACTATCACAGGTCGTTCAATGCAGCGCCCTCACGCAGAACTCGCAGTCACAATAAGACGGTGGCACCTGCTTGGATGGAAAAGCTGCCTTCGTTGCGATCAAGGCTCAAGAATGCACAGCGGTAGAGAATGAACGAACAGGCTGCACCAACCGCTTCTGCATCTCGGGCTTCCGAGACTCATCATCAAAGGCTTCTTCGTAACTTAAGAAAATCTGCTGCCACCTCTGAAATCAAAGGCAACAGTGACACGTTCCGCAGGCGCGCCCGTGAATCCAGTGACGCTGCTGCAACAGCGAACACTAGGGCTGCTGAGACACCGCTTGGTAGTGCTGTTCGAAATGCTAGGAACACTGTCACCACTGCCAGGTCGAAGGCAGCTGAAACATTCGAACGCAGACGCGCCCATCAATCCAGTGAAGCTGCTGCTGCAGCTAGGTCGAGGGAGTCCGAGACTGAGCTGCAGCGGGCAACCCGCAATGCCAGCAACGCTGCAGCAACTTCTGCTACCAGGAACTTCAAGGGCCCACAGATTTCAAAGGCTACTACAAACATGGTAGCTGTGCGCTATACTCAAACTCCCCAAGCTCGCTGTATACGCCTCGACGGCGACATTCACCGCCTTGCGGGTGCCAGTGGTGTTACCTGTCCCCGTAGCTCGTTTTGGCCTTTCTTGGCTTTCAATTACGACCCCAGCATTAACCTAACTATGTGTGACATCAATGTAGAGTCGATGACCTGCGTTTCAATTTCTGCAACTCCAGCAAAGGGGCCGGTGAGGATGTCGGTCTGTGCTGTTCCTCTGGCAAAGTTCGACTGCCACATCACCATGAACAACCTACTACGATGAGGGGTCTCATAGCCGGCTCCGATCTCGACTCCAACCACTTCCTTAAAACAATTAGGCAATACAAGAACTCCTTTTAAATGACATCATTTGGGGCTCAGGTGGTTCAAGAAGAGGGTTGGATGCACACTTCCAAAGTACAGGAGCAGGTATACCACCGCATTGGGTCTCTGCTGCCTGAGGAGAACTCTACGCCTAAATTCCTTCAACTGTACTTTATTGCAGACTACAAACTACAGGCCGAAACCCGGATTGGTATTTTGCCGCCGTCGGAAAGAGTTCAGCGCAGGGACGTCTTACTACTTCTACAGGCCATGATTCACGATGTTAACACTTCCATTCGCAGTTTCAAATATACTTTGGAAAATGCTCCCTTTCCTTCCTTCAGCATTGTAATTGACGCCGACAAAGCTCCTCATGATGAACACGAACGACGCTAGAATCCACCTGCGTGGAACAAAATGCCAGCTATTATACGTGGGGAGCAAGAACGCACTCGCGATATTGTCCTCAAATCAAGTGTTGGCGCTCTTCGCAGGATTTCAGAGACACATCGATCATACGACGCATTGCAGTACACTTTACATTTCCCTTATAGTGACGATGGCTACAATTTCGGCATTCCCCTTCATACACCGGGTGGCCAACCTACAATGTTTCCTCAAGCCTTATCGTGCAAGGCCTTATACTCATACCGTTTATGTTTCGGGATGGAAACTTCAACCTGATTCATAGAATGAAGGTAGCTTTTCCACCATTTTGCGATTGACATGGCCGCTAAGATGGAATCGGGGAGGCTTTGTTTTATACGGAATCATCAGAAACTGCTGCACTCAGACTCCTATGTACACTTATGCGACAGCCTTCGAAATGAAATCAATCCCCGCGACCTAGCGAAGCTGTTCATTCTATCATCTACCTACACTGCGGGGGTGGCTTTACATGCATGAACAAAATTAAATTCGGAGTTTTTAGCTTCTATTTTTGAAACATGGTTGGAACTGTGTAGCGAAAAAAACCATATTTTAAATCAATTAATTTATAATATTAATGCTCTGTAAATTTACATTGAGCACTATTTTGTAAAAATAAAAATATCTATAAGAACACCGGATTTTATATCTTACTGTTCTTTCTTTTTATTTATATATATATATATATATATATATATATATATATATATATATATATATATATATATATATATATATAGAGAGAGAGAGAGAGAGAGAGAAAAGAAAGAACGAGAGACGTGATTTTTGTCGTATTTGAAGTTCTAATCAATACGCTAATTTTTGGGGATGGGTTACAACTCAATTGATGTAAAATCATCAAGGGTCGCACTATGCAAGAAGTTTGATTATAAACGGGAGTTAAATATACGTACTTAAGAAGTTTCGCTCGGTATGGTAAAGGCTACAGATGTTGACTAAGCCACAAACTCGAAAACTAGTTTGGAGTATATATATATATATATATATATATATATATACACACACACACACACACACACACACACACACATATATATATATATATATATATATATATACACACACACACACACACACACACACACACACACACACACATATATATATATATATATATATATATATATATATATATATATATATATATATATATGAGAAATGCTGTTGATAGATTTAAAGGTCGACCCACTTCTTAAAATCCATACCAAATATCCCCGCATTATATTTATCTGGAGAAAATCTTCTTTGTCGCACTGGAAACTTTTCGATATTCCCTCCTATTCCTCCTGCTCTTTCTTTTACTGGTACTGCTATATCAATAGGCATACACATTCTGAATTTCTTGTGTTTTTTGATAATATCACTTGTGATGACATTTATTTCTTTGTCATTTTAAACTGGCATGTCCCAAAGGATAGTTACATCGTTATTTTGTGTCATACCATTTCTCAGTGCATTCGATTTCGCGCTTGTTGCATACTTCTAGTGCACGTATGTTGCAATTATGTCTGCATTTCGCGTTAGTCCCTACTTGATTATGTTACAGTAATAGGATTTAGTTGCGTGGCTTTCATGCTGATCTGCAATAGTTAGGCCTTCTGTCATTGCTTTCAAAGTAACAGAGAAAAATAAAAAGTTAATAAAACCGACAGATGGAAAATACAAAAAGAAAATTCAGAAGTGAGGTCAACTGGGAGACTGACATACTGCATTTTTGTGGGAAGCTGAATCACAAATCAAGTGAATTCTCGCTGCAAAACACAGACACGGAAAAAAGCCATTAGTGAAAATTCATTTCATGTTTTTAGCAAATAATTTTATTGTTGATTGGTTCCGAGGCAGTTTTCAAAAACTATTGTGTATTTTGAATATTAACTGTATTGAATATTTACAGTATTGAGTATTGACTGTAAACATTTGAAAATATCAGCGTATAAAATAGAAAAAAAAAAGACGGCGTTTAAAACAAATAACGGAATTCTGAATGACAGAGTGATGTTTGTGCGTCGAACCACCAAGGAAAATAGAACGGAATGATTAAATGTTGGACTGTGTTCTTATTTTCTACTCTTTAAATTAAATTAAAAACAAGTCCGCAAAGGACCGATGGTATAAGAGAAAGATCGTAATAAAGTAATCTAAAAAATTAAAACTATAATTAAAATAACGAAAAAGGAAAGCAACTCATAGAAAAATAATCTCGTCTGATTGATAGTTATTTTCTTTTTTACAAATGTTTTTGGTTTTTGTTCCAACCCAATCGAAGGTCATTACTTTGAATGCAGCCTTTCCTAATTTACCAAACAGGCAGAACAGAGTCATATAATTCTTTTTCAAATATTTTGGTATGCTGAAAAGGTGCTACAATGAGCTTTATTAATTTCTTCTTCAAATGCGCACCACAGAAATTGTCTAGTAGCCATGAGTGTATCTGTCTATATTTCTGAGATGAGGTATTATGTACACTATTTATATTATTTGGACTATTGTCCTCATCTTTGTCGCGATGTTTATCACAACGTTTCGTCCGTTGTACGCCCCGTCCTTCTTCAGGTGGTTAGAATGACATGTCACTTTGAATTAGAACAGTGTGCGAAATAATTTGATTTGATTTCTGGCGTTTAGACATTTCTTTCCGTGTCACGCCCAGGGACCTAATTTTAGAAATGACATCATGAAACTTTCCACTGACAAAAAAAAAAATATTACATAGATAAAGGCCTTCGTAAAATGTGGGCTGTGCTTGTCAGAACAATTTTTGTATCTCCTTGAGGCATGGACTTCCAAGAATCCCTTCAATTAGTCTACTGCAATCATTTCTAACCAGTCCTAGGGCTCCAAGTAAAACAGGGATTGTTGATGTTCCCATATGCCACATTTTCGAGATTTCTATTTGTTGTGAGACCGTAACGTACCTACAACATGAACTCTTCCAGGACTATATAAAGTATGCGATATAACACTCTCAAAGAAGAGGAGGAAAGAGAGAGAGAGAGAGAGAGAGAGAGAGAGAGAGAGAGAGAGAGGGTATTCTAATACCGTAGTATCAGCCGCGTACGACTACCAATATTGGACACTAGCACATAGTAAGGTCCGCTTACACTTACACTATCTTTGTAACCTTTTTGTTTAATATATCTTTCTTACCTCTAATCCGTGTTCCGTGTTTTTCTTTCGTGGTCCCAACTTTGGGTCCACATGAGTGGCGACGAAGAATTCGAGAAACGCACTCACGCCGAAACCTCAATACCTTACCAGTCCCACATCAGTGGCGACAGAAACATTCGAGAATTTCGTTCTCACCATATTAATAGCGACTGAGTACACAGAAACTCCACGCGTTCCCACAGCAGTGTTGAACGAGAAATTAAGCTGGTATTACTACATAAGCGATTTAAACGCAACACACAGCGTCTACATATAAAAAAAAATATTCCGGTACCAAATATCAGTGACGAACTAGCGATTCGACATCTACGGAATATTAAAGTCTGTCCAAATAACATAACGAGAAAGATTTCTTACACACCCACACACAGTGAAAAAAAACAGTTTGTTCATAAAACAAACTGATAACACAAGAGTCGAAGTACTACGTACGACTCTAGTTTTCGAAAAAAACTATCTAAACATTTTTTTAGTTAACTGAGTTGAATCTCGTGCATAAAATTATTCTCCCCTCAAATTCACCGAGGCGAGTTTTCTATTTTGTGTACCTCTATAAAATAAATAAATAAGTGTTGTGAAAATTTATACAATTACGTTAAAATTAACGGAACCACGGAATCTCGAAAAAACTAAACACATTAGTTCAGTTTAAAAAATTGTCTGTCCATATTTTGTCTGTCCATATTTTTTTTTTGTTAAAAAAAAAAAAAACTCTGTTAAGATTTTTTTGTCTACCTCCCCTTGTTACACGGGGTTCAAAGCAACAAAAAATCGCTGTCATTTTTGTTTGTCTAAATATGGAGATTTTCAAAAAGTACTGCTAAAAGTACATTTGGATCAGCAACCAAAATCAGAAGAAAGACAACAACAACTATTTTTGGAATTACATAAACAACAAATGGAATTCCAATAAATTACGCTTCAGAATGCTGAACTACAACAGAAACAACTTAAAGAATTGCCCGTAAATGCATTAAAAGGCTCAAACTCTGAAAAAGATTCAATATTCTACCAGAGTACAATCTACAATTCAATGGAAACCTTTGAATACGTACCAGAGAACGACAAAACGTTCGTAGCTTTTCATAGGCGCTACGAAGGTATTTTCAACGTAGAGAGTGAACAATGGCTCAGTAAAAAAAAAGGTACGCCTACTATTGAGAAAACTGGGAATTACAGAACATAGTAGGTTCGTTAGACTTCATATTACCCAAGAAAACCACAGACTTGGATTTTTCAGAGACTATTAGGCTCCTATTGGAACTATTCGGGCCTAACACAACCTTGTTCTACAAACGTTGGAAATGTCTGAACACAGTCAAAGACAACCATCGAGATTTT